TTGCCATGGGTAGCTTATGATCAAGGATAAAATGGAGGCCTTCTCGGCGAATATGACCGACTGCTGCACGGAAGCTTCATACCAGACGCCCTTAAAGGCCCAACAGAGACACATCGCCCCATAGCCGGTTGATGCATGTAGGTACCCAGCCACAAACGGAGTGGAGAGGGCCCAGCAGTATTTGTTGGCTTGGATGCTGTGTACACGGTACGGGCGTTTATTCCGAGCTGAGTAGGGCAGACAGCTCTGTACTATGTATACTTCGAAAAATAGGATTGCAAGGTATTATTTTGTATCGTGGCCGAAAGTTCCCGTGGTCCCTCTCTCTAGCCTTTCCCCACCACCGTCGTGCAAGATGCAGATATGCTTGCTTGTACCACTCCAGGATAGCAATATGCAAGACATTGTCATATACGACCTCACGACCTTGCTGTCCCACACCGACTCCGCACACACACCCACACGAGTTGGATAGAACAACCTTCTTTTTTGAAGCCTTAGTTCCTTAACCGTAAAGAGTTGATCAATAGTAGCATACTAACAGCTGAATTCTCGATTCTCAGACCGATTCTCACCAGTCTGCAGCTCCCGCAACTCTTCTCTCTTCCTTCTGGTCCAGAGTCAAAACTATGCAAATAGCGCAAGAAATTAACTTCTCCAGTTCCAGCACAACTGCCGTCCAGCCTGGACCTTGGACATAAAAACATAAGCCAGGAAAAAGAAAAGATGGAGACAAAAAGAAAGGAGAAAGTAATAGTTTTCAACGCAGTTTGAAGTTTGAAGTTGAAAAGTTGAAGAAAAAAGCAAAAGGCGAGGAGGAAATACAAACAGGACAAACATTCCCGCTTTGGGCAAGTCGACCCTTTCCGTCGATCATTTCTGCATCATCGAAAATTCTTCTTGAATCGAAAACGCCAGCAAGGACGAACAAAACCAGCCATCCAATAGTCAAGCCGGCCTGGCTGCGGTCCAGTTGATCGTCTGGCTCTTCTAGCTCATTACGCAGTTCTTTTTGTTTTTCTTTCTTTTTGCATGTCTAGTGTTCTGTTCTTACGCCAAGCTGGCAGAGGCAGAGAAAGAGAGGGTGTGTGTGAGAGAGAGAGATGGATAGAGAGCAATATCGAAATATTATGCCAGCCTCGCCGACAGCTTGGTTAGCTTATGTTCGATGGAGTCAAGTTTGGGCCCCTTCTCCATCAAAATCCTGGTTTGGGGCGTCATGGTTGACTCTCTTCGATACGGTAAGCTCGCAAGAGCTGCGGCTGTTGATCGCGACTGGGACCTAGAAACCGTCGCAGCTTCGGCCCTGGGGCCCTCTTAATATACATATATACACTTAACTATATCAAACGTCCGCACGTGAGATGCCTGGATTTGTGTGGCTAGTACGGAGTACCTACGGGAGAATCCTTGCCAATACCCAGAAGCGGCGAGGAATGATAACTCGCGCCTCCAAGGATCGGGCCACCACCACCCATGGCCTATAATATGAACTAATTTCGTAGGAACCGGTCCTGTTGTCGCCTGCTGTCTGGTGGGCAAATGAAAGACTCAAGAAAAAAGAGGGTTTAGTCTTTAGCTAATCGAACCGATTTGCCGTTTATCCTCTGATACTTTTTTTCTGGATCCTCACCATGGACCTTGGGAGGTAGATTGACTGATCTTTGCGTCAACCGAGGCTGAAAGCCTTTCCGGATATCCAACATGGCTAGCAACTTGCGAAACTGACGGAAGAAGCTGCGAGTGCGACTTGTATTGCCGCAAAATTGAGACCGCTTCAATTTGATTCGTCCAACCTTACCTTTGGGACTTTTACTATTGTATGTGAAGCAATCCGAAGTCAGGTACCGGCCATTACGTGAAAAATATCTTGAAGCCCGTTTACGGAGTAATTCTGGCTTCCCTTGTCCCTGGGGCTACCCTAAATTAACTCCCTTCGGCACACCGTCCTCAAAGAACGGGGAGGTCTTCTTGATGACCAGAAAATCAGATGGTCATCATAGCATTACTATGTATGCATGCACCAAATTCGGCTCTGAGTTGGCTAGGCCATCTCCGGAGCTGGCTCATTGGGCCTTCTGTCCGGCCTGATGCATAATACCCCACCGCTACCCTGGTTAATTCCACGGCCGGGACGAAGATACCAAGAATATTCCGGGTGACGACGAAGTATCTACCTTATGTAGGTGTGGTTCCTACAGAATCTCGATCTTACCTTGTTCTATTGGGTGCTCGGCCTTTTTTGCAAAGAATAAAAAAAAGAAAAGAGAAAGAAAATCTAAATTTGAAAAATTAAAATAAAAAAGAACTCTGGAAGAAGAAAATAAGAAGCAGAAAAAGAAAACATGACGCTTATCGGGAGAGAGCTAGGTACGTTTATACACTTATTCAACCTGTGGTTTTCAGTCTCTTGAAACCCATAACAAGATTTAGCAAGCGAGTCCAGACTAATTCTTTTCTTATTAGGGAGTAGACTTGTGGAACAGAATATAATGCATTCTATCACGGGAAATGGCCTGCTTGGAAGAGAGGGGAAAAAAAAGGAGGATGAGTATGTCGTTGCAAGTTTGTTGGTGCAGATCATCCGAATATACTCTCATTGAGCATTTCCATTGAGAGGGGAGGATCCCGAACAAGGATGCATTTTCCAACCAACATCAGCCCGCATTTAGCTCGAACCTTGCCATATATCTCATCTTCAACTCTACTTCCTTTCCTCTCATTCTGATATATCGCGGTACGTCATATTTCTCTTTATCCGCCATTGCACTTTATTCGCAATATTATGCTGCAAGAGTTTGCTCGGCCTGATCGAGCTGATCTGGGTATTACTACGCAGTCCTATTACGCATGTGGATGCGACCTGTGCTTTGTTTTTCTTAGCTTCCGCTGGACAAGGGCTAATTCTCTAGTGGGCGATCCCCCGGACCCTTATTTTCTTTTGTTCGCTGCTGGTAAATGGTCACTCTGGGACTTGGGAGGAAGGGAAGGTAGACCCATTCCCATCTGGCCCAACTGGCCACCCCTGGCTCTCTCTCTCTCTCTCTCTCGCTCTCACTTACTCACACTCTCGCGCGCTCTTTTCTTTTCCCTCTTCCATCCCATTTCTCACATCCCTCTCCACCCTCGCTGGTCCTTGATATCCCGGCTATCCGACATAAATAACATACATAGTACATACATAGGACTATGTACCCCCTAAAACCTCCGTCTACCTACACGTCTGGCCTTGGTTGCATTTCTGGCATTTCGTTCCTTTGTACACCGATGCGCTGGGTTCCCCTAGGCGTAAATTTGGTTTAAAAATAACCTTTCATCCTTTTTTTCTTCTTGGGCGATTATAGTCTCCCATGACATCCAACAACCTGGTCAAAAGACCTTCTTCAGCCCTCACGCGCGACTCCATCAGCACTCCTTGAGTGGTTGCGATCCATATTCTCACCCCATCACCACGCTTCTCTCCAGCCCCCGACAGCCTGCAGACGCCGACACATCGACCTTCCCACCGCTTTTGTTTATGAGCTAGAAAGCTTATCAGACGGACAAACTAAAACAAGCTGGTAGGCCTCCGCTGAGATTCCAAAAGTGGCCAATCACCGCGCCACTTGGCTAAACTCCGTTATCCGAACCATCACGATTTATTGGCGTCTTAGGGAGGCCTCTGCCCTCTGGTCGACTATTTCTTGACCTTATTACCAGAGCCAAGTCCCCTATTTTCTGCCTTTGTGTGTTGATCTCCATAGGAGAACGAGAGAGAGGCCTTGATCTGACAAATGAAGTCTAGTAAGCTTAATTTCACTTGGTGCTACTCGAAAGATAGTTATCCAGGGCTATTCCCTCTCTATCTCATCTCCCCCTTCTTCACTGTTGACCAGGTCTCCTCCACGTTTTTTTATCTATCTTTTTTTATTTTCATCCTCTACTTTATTTTCTTTTCGAAGCCCTCTTTACTTTTTCCTCCCCTCCCACACTACTAAGGGAGACCCTGCCTTCTTTTTTTTTTTATTTATTTTTTTTATTTTTATTTTTTTTTTCCCATTTCCCCTTCCTTTACCCACTGTGGAATCTCCTGCTGTAAGCTCCCAGCTTTTTTACCTAAACTGCATGACATGGTGTACCCATCTTGTATCTGGTTCTGCAATAAAGATGTGATATTAAACAACACAAGGTTTAATCCTATTGTTGAAAATGATAACGCTCTGCCTGTTGATTTTTTCTCTTCAGAGCTGTTCCCCTGCGTGTATACTTCCCAACTGTTGCCGTGGAGTCCTAACAGCATTGTCATCTCCAGCAGCTATAGAAGAGCACACAGTCCCGGAATAACCTTGTCACCACTTGCTTTATAGCCAAAGCCAACAGACAAGAGAGCACAACACCTCTATGGTTTAGGTTACGAGGCTCCTTTTTTACTGAAGATATCCCCCCAAAACAAAAAAAAGAAGGTCACGAGAATATTTGGTGCATCAGACCAGCATTCCAGACAACAAAACCGCCTCTCTCTGCCTCTGCCTTGAGATATCAAAGGCCCAAAGACCTTCTAGCAACAAGAAAGACACATACTCACAACCCATTCTGTTGTTATAGGGGCAGCATGAGCTGTAAGTTGATCTATTTAGTATGATTTATCAAGTGTCTGTTTATTTTTTTTTTTTCTGTTTATTCTTTTCATGAGTCTCTATACAAACCTTCCCCCTGATAAACACTGCTCTACCTTGACATAAGCTTGGCTGTTTCTCATATAAACCATCATCCTCTTTCACTCCCTTTTTATTTTCAAATATATAAATCCTCCTCTTCTTTTTTCTATCCTGATCTCTACCCCTCATTTGTTTTGTCCGTGTTACGTGGCTTGTTTATTCACAATATTATTATTCCCAAGCACACAAATGCACGGCTTGCACTGTCAACAACCCCCTTTGCTGGAGAAAAGACCCCTTGTTTCTGTTATGCCCTGGAGTGAGAAAGCCAGTTAACTAATCAAGAGAGAGAGAGAAGAGCCCATGATTCTTAGCGTACGTGCTAGTGAACTCACATCGGATTTTATAGACTCAACCTATCCCTCCTTGAACTCCAGGCTTTCTCCGGAATCAACATCAAGCTCTCTGTCTTCGGTTGCCGGCTCGAACGCGCCCTCAGAGTACTCAGCTACGTTGGACGTGGCATCTGCTGCCACTACTCCGCCGTGCATATCGAGAGACAAACTGGACCGGAATATGACGGATTACAGACTGCATAGTGTATCTGCGCTGTATGTATATGTCCTGCCACAAGGTAAACATCTCCAATTTTGAGTTTCGGTATTTCTGACAATTGGGTATAGCTGCACTCAACCACAGCCTGGTCTCCCTTCAACAATGCAGTCCTCAGGAGCTGTTCTCCCAGCTTCTCCCGGCATGATCCCCAGAGGAGACAGCTACCATCTTCAATATCAACCAGCCAGGAGCGTGTTTCCAAGCTCCAACGGCATTGCAATGAACAACTTATCACGCTACTCGAATTATCAGACAACAAGACCAATAGATATGAACTCGAGTGCGCAGGGTGGCACGATATTCGGTACATCAGGGGGTTTCGTTTTTGACTCACCAGCATCAAGACAATCGAGCTCAGCCAACCCTGAAGCCCCACCGTTTCACGAAACCACTGTCCTGCACAATCTTCTAATAAACAACCATGCTGTGAGGCCAGACATCAATGCAAAGATCCATAAAGGGTTCTTCCAAGTTGATGGTAAATGGACGTGTTATCGACGAAACTACTTCTCTTTGTCCTGCTCATTCACCCTGAGGCCATGGATGCAGATGCAAAGTTCTCCCCCTTACATCCAACTTTCCAATGGCACGACCCCGAGAGTTAAATCATTTGCCATGGCAATTTCCGCCGTCGTCCATGGTCAAGAGAACGAGATCCGTGAACTTGTCCAGCACACACCAAAGCGTGACAAACAATCCGAGAGACGACCAGGGAAAGTGTCCTTGGAGCCACAACCACCACCATCATTAATGCTTAACACCGGACCAGTAGGAAACGGCCATCACCATATGGCATTTTCTATTCCCACCCAGTCTCCTATGCATTTTGACTGTGGTTCAGCCTTTGGGAACGGCCACTCTCAAGCAGTACAAACCGCACCTACATCCCACACCTTTGAGCGAATTCAGTTTCAAAAGGCAACTGCAAACAATGGCAAACGTCGTGCACAGCAACAGTTTTACCAACTGGTGACTGAACTCTATGCTGATGTTAGTGACCACAACTCGAAATCCTCGCCACAGTGGATCTTAGTTGCAAGGCGCCTTTCGTACCCCATGGTTGTCCGGGGAAGATCTCCCGGTCACTATAAAGACGGACGACGTGAAAGTACGACCAGCATCGGACCGGAGAGCGACACCGGGAACTCTGGAGACAGCCGAATAGGCGGATTGACCAGCGGATTAGTACAGAGTTCACGACAGCCTCCCCCTTTACTTTCTACGTATGACCAAAGCCATGGCCGTCGACTGACAGCCACTGACCAGCCGCCATTAACGGCAGGGTCCCTTGTTTCTTCCTCTTCCTCCTCCCCCGGCTTCGACTTTGGAATGATGAATGATTCCATGAATCCAATGGAAACCATGAAGGACACAAACGTTGATGCATACGGTCATCAACCATACACCTCAGCAACAACCGTTCAACGAAAGGTATGCATTGAACCGTCCGGCATGCGAAACCATATGCCTACCTTCAATGATACCATTACCACTACAAAAGGACAGGATCCCCAGGATGGCGGATACGGTGAACCCTTCGAACCAATGGTTTCCCTTATGCATCATGATAACAACGGCGACAATCACTACTTCAACCGTCAGGATGACCATGGCCTAAGAAATGGTATGAAGATGCATGGGCCTTACACCAACCGGCCGACAGCTCATTACGCTCGATACTGAAGTGGACTCTCCGTTAACCGGCCACCTCCCTTTCTTTTATTACCTTAGGAACTATTACCTCCTCCCTTCCGAGTATCTACGAAATCCCAACTTCTCCTTAAGATCCTTCTTTCTCTCTGGCCGATTACAACCCTCAATAATGACTTTGTCTCTGAGGGACATTCTCTCCTTTAACTCATTTCATTTATACCCGCTATCCTGTTTTCACCCTTGCATTGAAGCTCTTCTACCACTGGCATACCGATGGCTCACCTCCTCTTCCTCTTGAAGACACATACATAAGTCTTCTGATGGCTATTTCCTGGTAACGATTGTATTTTTGGTTTCGTATCTGGGCGCATGTTTTCCTTGGTTCCTCCTCCCTTTATTTTGCCCTGACCGCAATTTCCTATGTTTTTTTTACTTTCTTCTTTGAATCTTCGGGCCTTCGACCTTAATGAGAGATGACAGCCATGATAGCGACTGATCGTTAATAATCTAACTCAACCCTACCTGGACTTACGAGGAGTTATCTTCCTTTTTTTACAGGCCGGCTTCACCACCACAAAGCCTACCCGATAACTTTCTCAATGCTCGTTTCCACAGGACCGAACCCCCAATGACGATGATTCTTCTTTTTCAAACAAGCGACGCTGCCATTATATCTTTGGATACTGGTTGACAGACCTTTTGTACTGCATGTATGTTACGAATGGCTATTCTGCTTCTCATGATTAGGGTTTCAGCACCTCACAAGAAAAGATGGTGAGGGATAAAAAAGGAAAAAAATATATATTGATGATCGCACGTTATACTATTGAGGAGGTGCTGCAGGTTGATGACTTTTTTTCTTTGCCTGATCTTTGCCCCCCTTTGTTTACTTTTCTTTCGTCCTTTCATTCTTTCATCTTTTCTCTTAAATGGCTGTTAGGGATTTTTATACTCATGGGTGGGAATATTGAGGACAATACGGTGAAATGGACAACTTGGTCAAAACTGGGCAATGGACTGCAAAAAAAAATCATATACAGGAAGACTTCTTCCAGAAAAACGATGAACTTGGGCCCCCCCTTTTTTTTCTTCCCGCTTCCAGCCTTAGGGACATTTTTCTCTCCAACCAATTACTCTTGTTAATGCTTTTGTTATTCTATCTTCCAGAATTGATGTGATGACTACCGCTAGACTTTTCTTTCTAGCTTATGACTTGATGTCGGCGTTTTCAAGGGCATATACCCCCATACCACTTATCTTATTTCTTATCAAGGCCTGGGTCTCCTTTTCCAACAAAACAAGGCTCTTTAACGCAAGGATTGTCCTGGTTGCTCTCTGCATGTATGTTTGCTCAATTTCTCGATCGTCAAATAGAGCTGAAAAAACTCATTTAGGGAACAAATCAAGAGATTTGACGGGAGAGACGAAATCCTACATTTCTTCATTCATATTCTGAACTCAATAAAACCCTGCACAGCCAGCCGTGTTGATGCATGCCATGGAATGATTTGAATATACCAATTGCATTATCTGTAGTTCCAAAGATAGGTTGCAAAACTTGGATGAAGCCAAGACCTTCTATCCGAAGGAAAGATAAAACAAACTATGAGAAAAAAAAAGGGGGAGGGGGAGGGATGAATGAGTTGAGGAGAGGAGAGGAGGGTAGGACAATTCAGCAAGAAAACGAATTGTAGAGTGCTGTTCTTGAAAATTGTCTCTTGAGCTTCTCATCCCTTCTCCTGTGTGTGATACGATCAGGGGGACGAAGTTATGCGCCGTGATAGAACGAAGGTAGCCGGTGAGACCATAGTAGCTTAGGTCATAGTCCTCCATTGCGTGTCCAGATAATAATAATAAAAAGTCGTTTAAGAAAAAGAAATAACGGCAATGTGAGAGGTGGAACTAAGTTTGGTTCCACTCTCCTGGCAACCGTGGTATCACGATATGGCTTCCATGAAGCCGTCAAGGTAAGCAATGGTGTATAAACCATGGTAGCTTTCGGCACTGGTGACATTGTGAAAAAAAAAATAAGGCACCATCATCCAAGCTTATTATGGAAGGCTATTTCAAGGAAAGCCGCATGCTGTATATGTAGGCCAAGGCATCTCCAGGATAATCGGCCGACCAGGATCCATAGGTTTGCCGCCGTCCGCCTCCTTCTGCAGACTAAGGCCATTTTTCATCATGCATGGAAAAGGCATGATGGAGCAGAGCATAGGAAGTAGTGGGAGAAGAACCAGAATGTTTCAGAAAAAGCAGCATCATCAGGGAAAGGATATTAAGCGCCAACTATTCTACATGGAATCCTCTAGCTCATAGTCCAACGAAGAGCCCAAAAGAGTAAAGTGTCATGACACAGCATACTGCGCCACTGCAACCTAGACGAAATGAAATTTAACAATGTCATCGTTGTTGTAGTTAGGATATCCCCGAAAATAGCAGTTAGATCCCACTTATCCATGCCTTTGCCGAGCAGGCAGGGTGGTGCATCACTGCTCAAAATAGGATGAGAAAAAAAGGGCTTCTGACCAAGGAGCCTGATGACAAGGGCGGGATGCCAGGCGATATTTCAAATGGGCTGCGAAAACTCCAACTCCATAAGCTGGGGAGGGGGCCGGATAAGTTGAATAATTGGTTGGGAAGACGGGAAGGTTGGGTCCTAATAGTTTTGTGGTTTCACAATGGTGTATCCCGAGACCGGTAGTAGAACAGACATGACGACTGACTCAATTGACTATATCCTGCTTGTTCGGTTCTGTCTTTTCTCTCTCTTCTCTTTTCATTCCACTCGCCATCCTTCCCTTGCTTGACGCTCACGCCTCCCAGCCAGAAAAGCTAAGCCCGTCGCACGCATCCTTCTTTTTTTTTTTCAAAATGACTACCCTGCTTCGATCCCGCTTTATGGACACACTCGGAGTCCCCAGAGGTCCGAATATAGATCCCTTCGAGCGACAGATGAGGAGGGTAGGAGGATATAGCTGCTGGTATTATATGTACTCCGTATATTGTATATCTTGATCTGGAAGTCGGTGTTTCCCGTCCCGTGGATTGGGGGCCGCGCAAAAGGACCCCATCAAGGCATTCATTTATCCACCGTCGAGACGTTGATGGAGAGCTTCCTGTCCAGCTCTGCTTGCTCTTCCTTTGATGGGGTCATTCCTAACGATTTCTCGAGCTTGGGTGATGCCCACATCCCAAAGGCTGCGTAACCCATCAGGCCTAGGCCGAAGAAAAGACGAGTCCGGGGTTTTAGCGAGCGGTAAGATCTGGTGATTTGAATCAATTATTTCAGTTCAGTTCATTTGCCCCCTTTGAAGCTTAAGAAATCCTTTTGCCTTTGTTTCTCTCTCTCTTCATTCTAGGATATGGTCTCCATGCAAGGCGAGGAGGTTGTTTTTTTTTCTTCTTCTTTCTGGATGGGGGCTTACATACGTCCAAAACGACATGGTTCCTGGTGTCTTGAGAGGCTGTCAGTGTGTTCAATTGGCCTGTCTGTCTGCTGCCAAATGTGTCGGTGTAAAGTCGGCGATGTTTGATGTCTGATGAGGGAGAAAAAGTCGCTTGCTGGTGGTTGAAGTTGGTTTTGCCGTCGGAAAAGGTTAGGCCGATTTTGCTTTATCATGACTTGCATATAAAAATCTACTTACGATCATTCAGGGGGAAACCTGAGCAAGCCATGTAACTCCGGAGTATTTCTTAATAATCGTTACTGGCATTGATGTACTCTGGTATCTTGTACACGTATAGAGAGACCAAGTATTTGCAAACGGATAGATGTAGCACTGCTAAATTGAAACACGATGAACTGATCTAAGAACCTGAACAGGTAAATAAAACATACAAATAAAATATAATAAAAACAGCAGATAGAATATACCAGTAGTACTCCCGTAACGGCGTCATCATTCATATTCCTCGTTTGGTAAATGTCCATGTCTTGTTTGACCGCAATTCTACTGCTCCTTTCATCTCATCTTCGCGCCTTGCATACGCATGGCAAGATCGCATTGCATCGCATGAATAAAGAAAAGAAAAAAAGACTAGAAAACATGTAGAATAGATAGAAATTAACTATAATGGAATTTCAACTATCCCTTCCTAACGGTCATAAAAAAAAGAAAAAGGGGGAAAAGGAAGGAACTTGCAAAAAGCGATTCGCAGCGGCGGCAGCGATCTTCTCAGACAGAACTGGGGACTGAGTGTAAGAATCAGAACATGGAGACATCAAGGAGGTATAAGGGTGAGTATAAAGATGAAAGAAAAAGAAAGCCGAAGGGAGGGAATGCCAGAGACAGGACGGGACATAGCTATATACGGGGCAATCAAGTACATGGCGATGCGTGTAGCTAAGTCAGACAGTGGTAGCTGGACAGTTTGCGGGTGGTGGTGCTGTTTGCTGGTTGAAGCTGATATTATATAGACAGTGGAGATATGGGTATTGAGGCGCTCCAGAGGGTGGCTGTATGTGAGCAAACGGACGATGTGAGATTGAATGGGCCCATGCTAAGGGTCGGCCTGGATGAGGGGATTCTACGAAGACTTTCCGTAGGCGCGATCGATATCCTTCTGGTATTTGGCGACCAGTTTCTTGCGCTGTAGTTTCTGTGCTGCGGTCACGAAGCCCTGTTAAGCAAGAGTGGTTAGATGGATACCATGTCATATGTATGTCATATATACAGAGGTGATCGAGGACTTACATTCTGAGGGGTCCATTCCTCGTCGGAGAGGACAACACCTTCGATGATCTCGAATCCACGAAGGCCGGCGGCCTTACCAGCATTCTGCATCTCCTTCAAGACGATGGAGTTGAGCTTCTTGTCGTGGACGAGAGTGCCGATGCTATCTCCATTGATTCCATTGGACTTTGCAAGCTGGATCAGAGCTGGCTCGGCTGGCACGATGATGGCAACAGGTTTAGCCTGGTCGGTGGCAGCGTACACGCAGATGTTAGCCACGACAGGAACAGAGCGATAGACCGACTCAAGCTTCTCCAGGGCGATATATTCTCCGTTGAGAGACTTGACGAGGTTCTTCTTGCGGTCAATGACCTTGATATGACCGTTTGGCTCGAACTGGCCGATATCTCCCGTCATGAACCAGCCATCAGGGGAGAAAGCTGCCTTGGTCTCCTCCTCGTTGTCAAAGTAACTCTTAGCAACACTCACGCCTCGGATCCAGATTTCTCCCTGAGGTGGGTTGTTCTTGGTAAAGTAGCCGGCATCAGCGAAGTCGACTAGCTTCATCTCGACGGCAGCGGGGATCTCGCCGATTGCGTCATTTGTCCAGGCAAGGGGATCGTTCAGACCACCCATAGCGGAGGTTTCGGTCAGACCGTAGCCGTTGATCATGGGGCAGACGGTCATGGAGAGGAACCGCTGTGTTTCCTTAGAGACTGGACCGCCACCACTGAGAGTGAGGCGCAGACGGCCACCGGTGGCATCCTTGATCTTCTTGAAGACGAACGAGTCTAGTACGCCGGCGCCAGGGAGGCCGGTGGACATAAGGAACTCCTTGGCTGCCAGTCCGGCCCAGAAAATGCTCTTGACGATTGCGCTGTTCTTGTTGACGTTCCCGATAATGCCCTTCTTGACGGATTCCCAGACCATGGGCACACCAACGAGGATGGTCGGCTGCAGCTCACGAATGTCACCCTTGCAGTTCCTAACTGAGGTGTCAGAGAGGGTCTTTGGGCTTCCGTAGCCCATGGTGCCACCCCAGAACAAGCACAAGTTCTCGAACACGAACTCCAGAATGTGGGCTTGAGGGAGGTAGGTGAGGAGGATGTCGTTGGGACCAAGGTATTGGCCGACAATCGAATCAGCACCGGCCACTGCAGCTTGTTAGTTCTGCACTTGCCATAGGCAGACAACACAGAGGGGGGGGGGGGGGGGGTGTTGGCTGGCTTACTTGCTCCTACGACGTTCCCGTGCGTGAGAGGAACACCCTTTGGTGGTCCCGTCGATCCAGAGGTATACATGATGCAGCAGAGATCCTCACTAGATGGGGGTACAGGATCGACGGGGTTCTCTTCACCCAATTTGCGGAGGTCCTCGTAGGTCATAATGTTGATATAGTCGAATTCCGACTTGAGCGCATCGATATGCTCCTGCTTCGGCTCCGAACTGTTATCGTAGATGATGTTCTTGACATCTTTTACATCCTTGAGAACCTTCTGGAGCACTGGTAGGAGGGTAGGATCTAGGAAGATGGACTCGCTATGGGTCTGCTGGAGCGAGTGTCGAACACCATCTTCGCCCAGGGAGTCGTAGGCAGTCACGATAGTGACGGATTGGGATGCGGCACCTGCGGATGTGTCAGACGGCTAAACTTGACAGCTTTTGACAGTTTTTTTGACAGCTATAATTGACAGTTATAGGCTAGAACATACCATGCGAGAGACATAGCCAGTGCGCGCTGTTAAACGAAGTTAGCTCAAGGAAATGTACAAGGAGACAAGCTATCTACCGACCTTGTAGAGCTGAAGAGATGCAGTCTGCTGCCTTTCTCATGGCCGAGCTTCCTTAGGCCGGCACCTAGCTGCAGAGCCTGCTGCTCGTACTCAGCGAAGGTCAGATAGTTATAGCCACTGAGCTCGAAATAGGTCCATTCCTTGTCCACCTCCTGCTCGACCCCGTCGACGAGTCTCTTGACCTTCTTATTCTCAACGTGAGTTTTGATCAGTTTGCGCGAACCGACCGCCTTCGAGTTTCCGTACGTCTTTGCGCTCCATCTGAGGTTGTCGTAGGTGGTAGCGATGTCTGGATGGGGGGACTTGAGCAGCTCGTCTTTGGCCGAGGGGTGTCGTCGCGGGATGGTCTCTCCCTCCACCGGCTCGTAGCCAGCAGCCTCGACGGTGAAGGGACCCTTCTTTAAGATGCGAGGGTAGAAGACTGTGTCCTTGAAAGGCATGCTGAACAGTTCTTCAGGTGCAAGCTGGCGTAGATCGACTTGTATGTGCGATGTGGGCTATTTTTTTGAGCTACGCCTCTTGGTTAAGCTCTTCTGTTTGACCTGCTGCAGGATCTCAGGCAAGGCGACGGAGGACGAGAAGCTATCTCTTGCCCGCTGACGGTACCTATCTCGGTGTTCTATTCTTCAGCTCGATGTTTCTTGGTAGCCAGATATCCACAATATCTTGTAGCTAAGAGAACTTGTTGAGGTTGTTGGGATTGACAAGAAACGGTCGTGTGGAGATGTTTGTTCCAAGTTAAAAAACTTGCCAGGAACTAAATATTAGTTAAATGTAGAAAGAGAGAAGCCGAATATATATAAACAAATATATATGATACAGTCTCAGCCCGTTTGTTCTAGCTGTCTCTTCTGTTGTTCTATCAGTGTCTACCAGATGGCGCCTCTATTATCGCTTTTTGCTGCGCCAGCGAAGGACTTATGCCCCTTTCCTAGCAAAAAAAGAAATCATGGCTCTCTTCCAAGGCGAACTCTACAGGTCTTCCCGTCCTGGCGTCCACCTCTGCAAGGACTATTAGCTGGTTATTTGCACTCAAAAGAGGCCGTTGGAGCGAGTATCCGATCACTTGCTCTGTTTCTTTCGTGCCAGTCGGTTATTTATAGCCAATCAACCAGATACTCCAAGATCCTTGGGCTCGTTGGCAGGCGACTTGGCCGACCGCTGGCTGGCCTGGCTGGCATTTGTACTATCCCGCACAGAGTAGTTCTTCGGACCGACATGGCTAGCAGACAGTGGCGCTTTTCCCTCTTGATGTCAATATCATGCCAAAAGAAAGCATACCCTGGAATATTGAATATCGAATGTTATTATCATGTTTAATGTCGTGGGATGTCCAAGGAGCAGCTAGCGCACACCGATCTGATGTTTGTAGGTGATAGATCCATCTCTCTCTACGCCGAGGTTGATCCGGCAAGCCTGCTTCGGTATATTTGATGTCGCCGTTAGATACTCCGCCGTCCTCTGAGGTACTCGTAGAAACGCCTGCTGCGTTCGACAGTTGGTAGAACTTGGTAACATCCAAGATCGCCTAAGAAAGCACAAGACTTGACCGGTCACTTCGACGCTGTAATATCACGTTAGCCACTCGATATCAAGATAAATAATATACAGAGCAGCCATCATGTCTCTCAACCTACTCATCCTTGTATAATTCTTCGCCTCTCTCATCACTGCCATCTTCACTTCGTCGTCTCTATTTGTAGATGTAGTGATGATTTCCTCTTTGGGATAAGCCAGAGTGAGCAAAATATTTATAATCACTTTTTTTCTTCTTCACTTTTATTTTTTATATAAAAAGAAAACTCGCAGCATCTCAAGGACGAAGAAAAGAGCAACTTTGAGCCTTTCATGTCTTTTTCAAAGGTGAAGAAGGTAGAGAAGTTGGGCGCGTTGAGACGTTGGTGATGATAGAGGGAACTTCCCTCTCTCTCACTTGACGGCATAAAGGAACGTCAGATACGAGATACCCTCAAGACCATCGTTAGAGCAAGTTGAAAGTCGAGATTCTTCAGATAAATTTACTCTATCACACCTCTCCCCATTACAGCCAGGACGATACCCAAAATGCGGTCCAAGATGCCGTTGTCAAAGCCCAAGTCCAGGCCCAACAAGGACGTCAAGCCAAAGAGGCTGGATGATACCCATGGCCGTCAAGCAGATGTCAAATATCCTCTTGATCTGATATCCCTCAATGGCCCGTCAAAGACGACAACCACCGCCAGGTTCAAGATTACCAAGTCAAAGAAAGAAACTGTCAGGCCTAGGAAGCCCGAGAACGTCACATCATACCAGAAGAAGAACACAATGCCTCCGGAGCCCTTGTCGTCTGCTTCCATGTCACGCCCGCCTTCCCCGGGCTGCGGAGCCCTGCCAGATTGCTGGAGTTGCAGCGCTGAGCTGTGCGAGTATCCTCCATGCAGTTGCGAGGAATGTGGCATGCCTAATTAATCTGTTCTTCCCCTCTTCTTTTTCTTCATCTTCTTCTGGACCGATACTATTTTTATGACTCTTTCTCCCTTTCTCCGGTTTTCCGTTCCTCCGTTTTCGTTTTCTTGGCCTGGAAGGTTAAGTATATTTCCACTCTGGGCATGGGATAGCAGAAAGTCTATTCGGCTATTAATTTGTCCTGCCATAACAATAATATGTCGTATTCCTGGTCGCATGGGGCTGACTGGCTTGTGGGGATTAGCGGACCTTACTATATGTATAAACAACTGCGGGGGATGGATTTAGATTAGCAAGTATATTGCTAATCAACTTTGGCCCATTGCATCCATCTTTTTCTCTCTCCACACAGGCCGGGAAAGGGATACAGAAGAAAAACTTCCTCTATGTGTCGGTAGTAGCAATATGGAATCAAACAAAATTACACCCAACGAAGAAAATGCCGGCGATTACTCTATGGTTTTCTCAACTTTTTCATCCTCTCCGGCTCTCTCGGCACCTCTACCCAGGATCGGGCTCGATCCGTTGCTGTCGTGCTCAGGCCTAGATGCTTGCTTATAAAAACTATGTGCATTGGTCAGGTGAGGGGGTTGTCAGTCTCAGGGACATGCCTGCAAGCCCAAGTGCAAGACCCCCAACGCATGAATCGTGCGCCTTTTCTTTATTTCTGCTGAATGACAGTTATACGATATCGAGAACCAACAAGCCAAGCCCAGAGATACACCGGATGCAGTCTGATCCGGATTTAACAGTTGCTAATCACGGTGTCTTTGTTGATGGCGATATCAGTGTCCCCGTTTCTATACACATCCTCAACTAGCAGATTAGGTCTAGTCATAGGCAGGAAGCAGTGTGGAAGGCCCTGGAATATCCCCAAGGTGGGCCTGATGATACCGACCAATGGAGGCCAAAGCATCTTCGCGATAACGGCCTTCTATCATTAATATATATTCTATGCATTATATGGAATGGGCCATATATACTCACTGCTGCGGTCATGTACTGTGGGTATTGCAATAACTCATATATTTCAATTTGGTCTACAGCTTAACAGTCTTGCATTCGAACGTGACCAGCTTCCCCGGCTTCGTTATGAGAACCCGTTGGGTGCAGGATGAATAACTCACACTTCAGAACTAACGGTCTCTGCAGGCTAGGTCTAGGGGCTGTTTCTATCCAACGCCATCTGCTGTTCCAGGTAAGTATCTCCGCAGCCTCTCCACACTCTTTTCATCATTCGAGATAAGTTCCATCATGATAGCCAGGGGTAATCACACTAACACCTGCCATACGAGTGACTAGCGCCTATGGCGTTCCGTACCTGTGAAGAGGCCCGTCCGTGGTGGCTACAGCCACCCGTTAGATGAACGAGTGAATGCCAATGCAAAGCGTGACAAAAAAACGGTTTGTGAGAAGGGAGAAGAATCTACGTGGCTGGATCATTGCCTTGTAAATATTTATCCCAGACATTTGGTTTCTCCCCGAGATCTCCAGCGTCGATCGAACGCTCCCATCCTTGAGCATCGCCTTGACCACATTGTGAGTCTCATTTCCCCCAAGAATTGCTTGTCCCGCTCAGAGTGTCTACATCCCGGCCATCAAGACGGCGATATCAACAGGCTAGGCTAGTTAGAGGAGGTTAACAGAGACTTCACGAGGGACAAGAAGAAACAAAGTCAAAATGCCCACTTTTAGCCACCCATTTTCGAATGGGGATCTGCGACATTAGCCTTGCAGCTTAAAGTCTACCTATCCATCATGAACAACTTCACATGCGGGGTGCGTCTAAATATTCGGAGGGAGCAGAGATCCTGCAAAATGAGAAGCAGAGCAGTTGTTCCTCAATTTTCTAGCGCCGAACCAGGGGATCACTACTTAGTCTCCTGACTTCATAACTGCATCTTGAGCTTCTAATATTCCTCCGGAAGTTTCAAACAGCCGAGCAAACGACGCTGCAATATCTTTGACCGCTCATAACGAAATTGAATGAGGGACTGCAATCTCCACTTGGTACAGTTATGACCTCTTCTCTCTCACTCATGATAATATGGAGATGTCGACTTGGCAGCAGCAGCCCGGAGATGGAATACTCTTTGGTCCAGGGTCTGGAAAAAAACAAGCACTAAGAATGCAAACCAGGAATGAAATGGCGACAACGGTGTATGGGGTTCTCGTAAATCAGAAGGTTTCCCTTGCTCATCCTAGCCATGCACACTTGGCATGGAACATTTCTACCATCGCTTATTTTCTTCAGTTCGTTTCCGTCTTTCTATCCACCTTCCTCCTTGTTTCTACCGCCACTGTTACCCCAGGCTAAAGCGCCTCGAGGGTCCTCATGGCCACAGTGCTCCTTTTGCTTTTCCCCCATCAATGATGTTTGGCATTACATACGGAGTACCGTTGGGCGAGCAAGCCCGCCACGGTTAAGTGCGGGTCCAAGTTCATACTACGTTGGTGACCCGATGGCAAAGACATCTTGACATAACAGACGTCGAGACATGTCACCAAAGTGCATGGTAACCTCAGGAATTGCTTTTACCCTCCCCGGGATTTGTCTTAGCCTTTACCATCTCTCTTCTGACGTTGCAGCCAGCGGGCCCCAGGCAGATCATGGGTCTCGAGGATGCCCCTTGCAATTCTTCGAGATAGCAGACTGGGGAATGAAGATAATATAGACCACTCGATATTAACTTTGTTTCCCTGTGTGTATACCCCGTATCGTGCCGAGGAAATTGATGGGAGAGCCTCTTGATGTCTACTATAAAGACAGCCATCTCTCTTCATATCTTCTAGAAATCTTTCGTTTCTCCATTCCTCATCTCATGATCATCGCCGCATTGTCATAAGAACAAGTCCAAAATTGTTCAAGATGAAGTTCTCCCTTTCCATGTCGCTGCTTGCTGCAGCTGGCCTTGCCTCTGCTGCCAATGAGGTTGCCATGACCAGATTGATGTCCATGAAGCTCGCTGAGCGTGAGGAATACAGAGCCAAGGGAATGTATGCTCCTGGACGATATGCCAACTCTACCAACCGATTTGTCCCTTGCAGACACGGCAAGGCCGGAGAATACTCTTGTGACAAGGTCAACCAGCACGGCTTCCTTACCCATGAGCAGATGGGAAGCACTACCCGTGAGGGTAACGATGTCTGGGGTGAGTTCATTCTCTTTATGTTTCTAGAAGGTCTAGTTACTGACTAGTTTCCAGGTTGGACCTCCAGGGATGGTCGTGAGTTCGGTGCCATCGGTCAAACTGATGGAACTGCCTTCGTTGAGATTCTCAAGGACGGAAGACTCGAGTACAAGGGCAGGCTGCCAACTCAGACCAAGGCCAGTGTCTGGCGTGACATGAAGGTCATTGACGGATACGTCTACATTGGATCAGAGGCCCCTGACCATGGTCTCCAGGTCTTTGATATGCGCAAGGTAGACGCCAACCATAGTTACACCAGACAATAGACGTTACTAACTGAAATAATAGCTGCTCCAAGTCAAGAAGCCAACAACCTTCTCCATTAAAGACGACGTTACCGCCTGGTTCGGCGGTTTCGGTAGCTCCCACAACATTGTCCACCACGAGGCAACCAAGATGATCTATGCCGTAGGAACCGGCAGAAAGACCGACTGTGCTGGAGGTCTTTTCATGGTCGATGTTTCTGACCCAAGCAAGCCAACTTCTCCTGGCTGTGCTAACTCCGACGGATACGTCCACGATGGTAAGAAAACCACCCTCTCTAAATACATATATAGAACCGACTGAATGCTAAAATGTCCTACTTTCTAGCTCAATGCGTCATCTACACTGGCCCAGACAGGCAGTACAAGGGCAAGGAAATCTGCTTCGGTTACAACGAGGATTCCCTCACCATCTACGATGTCACCGACAAGAAGGACCCAAAGATCGTTTCCAAGACCCCATACCAGGGCTCCGCCTACACTCACCAGGGATGGCTCGCTGACCCCAAGAAGATGACCTACCTCCTCCTTGATGACGAGCTCGATGAGAAGGACGGAACTGCCCCCGGAAAGAACCACACCACCACCTACATCTTCGACATCAAGGAACTCGCCAAGCCAAAGTACACTGGTTTCTACCAGTCCCCAGCCCAGTCCATCGACCACAACCAGTACGTTCTTGACGGCCTAACATACCAGTCCAACTACGGCTCCGGTCTCCGGATCGTCGACGTCAGCTCCATCGAGAGGAAGCCAGATGGCTCTCAGTTCAAGCAAGTCGGTTTCTTCGACTGCCATCCCGAGGATGATCACATGAACGGAGAAGTCTCCTTCCACGGCAGCTGGAGTACCTACCCATACTTCAAGAGCGGATATATCCTCTTGAACAGCATTGAGCGTGGTGTGTACTCTCTCCGATACACCGGACCAGGAGCTCGTGGTCACTAGTGGATTAGCCACAGCGGCTAGTAATATTTTGTCTTGATATCATTAGAATATTCAGCCATGTACATAGTTTTTAAACGAATATACGAATAAATATATGCATGAACTACTATTTAGGAATATTATTTCCCCATTCCGTTTCTTAGTTTAAGTTTAATTTTTCCTGGTCGTTTTTCTCTTTTGATAGATGTTTTCACTTATTGATGCATGCATAACGCAGCAGGTCAAGCCCATTAGTAACGTTAAATAATGTCTATACTATTACTTATACGATACTCGGCTCAGTTAATAATGATGGAAGGTATATAGTCTCTGGATTGTTGCAGGCATCATGGACTATCTCAGTCTACTGGATACTCTTGGGCATGAAGTTGAAGATGCCGAGCAAGGTATGCGATCTAAGATAACTCCAGCACTCCCTTTGATATACTCAGTCTTACTGTGGCCTTAAGATGCATTTATCCAATTCTCCGACCCAATACCCTCAAGTGATCTGGGATTCGTCGACTCTCGATCAAACAATGTAGAACTTACTGTCAATGGAGAGGAGTTCACAATCCACCAATCGCCCACCATCCTATCCTCTACCAGAGCTGGTGGGACCACAGGTGCTGGTACGTTTTTCATCATCTAGTTGCTATGTACTGTCTGATATTTGGCCGACTATTTACTAATGAAAACTTTAAGTTCTGTGGCAAGTTACGCCTAGACTAGCAGAATGGCTCTGCAAGAAAGATAATCCTCTATGGAAGTCTTCTATTCTGAACCAGGATTCCGCTGTTGCTGAGCTTGGATGCGGTATTTCAGGGCTTCTGGCTTTATCCCTTGGGCCAAAAGTAGGCAATTATATCGCGACTGACCAGGAATATGTTCGGAAACTGTTCAATGAGAATATCCAGGAGAATACGGCTCAGGGCGCATCTTCGGGCAAGGAAAGAGGCAAATCAAGTAAAAAGACAACGAGCCTTGATCGAAGGCAGAAACATCATCGTGATCGGACGGACAGTCCGGTTCGCGCAAGGGGCGATCAGAAAAGTAATGTTTTGGAAAAGATCAAGTTTGTGCCTTTGGATTGGGAGCTGGATTCGCCGGATATGTTGAAGCGTTCGATCGGGGCCGAAGAAGGGGATTTGGGGTTTGATATTGTGATTGCGTGTGATTGCATCTATAATGATGCATTGATTGGGCCGTTTGTTGCGACGTGTGCTGATATATGTCGACTACGTCCGGCGTTGAAGACTGATGGTAACAATATGAGACCGGAAGAAGGGTTGAAGCCTACCATATGTATCGTTGGCCAGCAATTGAGGTCGTATGAGGTGTTTGAGGATTGGTTGCGGAAGACGCTGGAGGAGTTTCGGGTTTGGAGGGTCAAGGATGGAGTTGCCGGACGTACTTTGGGTTCTGGATCAGGGTTTACTGTGCATCTATTGGTTTTGAGAGAAGGGAGCTAGATAGATGTTGAAGAGAAGTAGAATAATGGAGATTTGGTCGCTATATACATAGAGCGGCCCCAAACTAGTAGACGGAAGCCAGAAATGCAACAAGACTGCATTCACTGCTGGCTCGCTCATCATCTCTCTCACAAGCTCCATAGACTGCTGATATTCAATTAAGCGTGTAGATAATGATACCATCTGGTCTCCGTTAGTTTTGGTAATTAATATGTAGACTGATGCTTCAACGTACCACGTCAGGGGGTTCAGACACTCCAACGGCCATTTCGCCGGCAGACTGTTCGATGTCCATCTGTATATCGCTATTCCCAGCCACGACCAGGAAGAGGAAGCACCCAAAGATGTCCTAAGCAAGCACATCGGGAGGTTTCCCTTCGCACGATCTCTTCGGCCATGGTGAGGTTACATGCAATCGCCATCTCGGGATTGGGATGAAAGAGGCTCAAGAGAGTGAGTGACAGGCGGGTTATATATAATATAATACACAGTAAGCAGGTAAGTTATATGAGTTTGGAAGATGGCCACATTGTATGTATAGTAGAGAGCGAGGCGTCCGGTGAGAAGGCGATGATTGAAGAAAAACGAAAAAGGGGCTATGTTTATCTGCTAATATAAAACAAAAAGAGTCGACAAGAAGGAGCAAAGGAGTTGGGCTATCAAAAGCGCAGCTGAGGCTGTCAAGTCGGTCCTTCTAGGAGTAAAGAGCAGAGAAAATAATATAAGTTACTCGCTATGGCCCCCAACTATAACCCAGTGTCGTATGTAACAGATCTGATATTGTACTTCTCAGGTATAATGGAAAATCAAACTAACATTCCGAAGAAGCCGTCATGTTGGTTATTTTCCCGCAGGATATATCTATTCATTCCATCCTAGCCTCGGTAATGTTGGTTCCAGGACGGCAAGCAGCTTTTGGAATTCCTCCTTCTCTAGCCCTGTAAGATTGCCAAATCTACTTTCTGGATTTCCTTCTACTAGGGAATTCATAGGTTCTTTGCCCAGCCACCATATTACACAACCTTGCATCGAATCATCCACGAATGCACCACCATAAGCCTCCTCGCGGTTAAACATATCGCACTCATCAAGTATAATTCTGAAGGCACCTGCACAGTACTCGTGCAGCGGCAAGTCTGCTTTCGGCGAGCAGCCAGCTTGATCTCTCGCCCAGGTAACTGAGGCCAAGAGACCTCCACTACTTCGGATAGCGTGCCCAAATGTATTTGAGGGTGGAAGCGACTCGGCGATATCGCAAAGGCGGTCGAGCACATCAGTGGCTTCTGCTTCCATGAAGGCAGACCACCGGTTATCCTGGTTGTGCTCACGGAAGCAATATGGGGTCAGGTCCGGTGGGTTTGTTGGCAGCGGAAGATTGGTCTTCTTTGATGTCTTTGGGGGATCTGGATCATGATTTGTAGTGGTAGTTTTCGTTGTGGTAGAGGTAGTCGAAGTTGGAGGCAAAGGATGATCAGTTGAAGGTGGCCGAGGAGGAAGGCCACCAGCTGGAGTGGATATAATGGTCCCCAGAATCCCTCCAGCTCCAAGACGAGGTGGTACCCCGTGCGGATCATTGGGTATCCAGGTGTTAGTAGCTGTTGTTGATGGTGGACAGGTAAACGTTTCCGTCGTAGCCGTAGATTTATCTGTGGCGACGGTACAGACCTCAACGTCTAAGATGAATCCTTCTGTTTAGCTATATTGCTGCTAAAATAAAAGAGATAAAACATACCACTGCATGTAGATGTGCATGAGCTTGTAGTTGATGAATATGTGCAATGAGTGTTACAAGCACTCAGGGTGCGAGTTGTGCAACCATCTGGCTCTTCAGGATCAGGACGAGGCTATATAAGTATGTAAATTAGCATAACTAATTATTATTAATATCACCGGAAAATATATCATGACTTACAGCTTCAGCACTACCACCCGGCTGGCCACCTGCAGGATGACAGCCTGGACCAATGCATCTACCATTAAAACAGTTGAGACCGGTACATGTCACCACACTGCATTTGGGGCCAAAGCATATGCCGTTCCCGCCACAATCTGGCCCAATACAGTCTATCCCAATGCATCTCCTGCCGATGCAGTGCTGGTGGTCGTTCGGGTCACAATCAGGGCCAATGCATCCTTTATTGACGCAGCTCAAGCCAATACACACTCCATTGCGGCATCCAGGTCCTATACAGCCCTGAGGAATACATCTGCGACCAATACAGTGGCCGCGGTAACAGTCGACACCCGAACAACCCAGGCTTGCACAGAGGATATCTTGGTATCTAGTTAGCAACATAACTAAAATAATGTATTGAGTATCTATCATCACCACTTACCTGTGCATTGGCTACTTTTGCAGTCCGGCCCTGCACAGTGTCCACCAGTAACGATAGGAACATTTGTATTTGTTGGCAGGCCACCGCCGGGGAAAGTCTTTGTGGGAGTAGGCGAGCCCGGTGGGACGGAAACACTTCCTCCTTCTGGACACCACGGTTCTTTTGCAGGGCATTTGGGCCCCGTTCCTTTACCTGGTGCAATTGTGGCCGAAGGAGCAACTTTCTCAGGGCCTACCTCGGACTCGTCGTTACCGTTGAAAGCTGAAAGAGCAAAGGCGTAGTTCCAAACACCTGGAAACAAGAAGTATTCCTCATTGCATGTACTCTCTGTTACATTGGCAATAATCTTAAGCTTGTCTGTCCCATGAATGTTACGACTCCAAATGTGATAGCCACCGGCAGAATCAGAGGGGCTCCATGTAAGACTACATCGATAGGAAAGGGGTTAGTAAACGATTCAGCAATGTGGAATATCGTTATAGCAAGATGCGATACTTACCGGACAGATGATTGGTCTTGGGGTTCGATTAATAAACCACTGGGGATACCGGGTTTTTTTGCACCAGGAACCGCATTGTGGCCAATGAAGGGGAAACCCTGGCCATTCTTGTTCCATGTCACAACGGCTATAAGATAGTTGACTCCTGGACTTAAGCTAGTAATAGTTGCAGGGGAGCTCTTGAAGGCAGCACCGCTAATGAACTGACAGTGGTCAGCATTCCAATCCCAGTAGATAACATTGTACTCTACAATGGAATCGGTGTAAGGACCACTTGGAGGATCCCATGTCACCGTGAATCCACTATCAGTAGACTTAACAAAAATGTTGTTCGGTGCTGGAGCAAGCTGTGGTTTTGCAACAGCGGACTTAGTCTCTGTGTATTGGCCTTTGATTGTATCGCCGGCACTTGCACGTACAGAAACAGCGTATGTCCAACCATCGATTGGCCACTGAGAGTCCCAGCGGTTGAACTGAGACGTTGTGGCAGAGAAGGCATTGGGGCCGCCATTAATAGTGACGGTAATGTCATACATATGGGCACCGTACACTTAATAGGTTAGTCTTTATCGCTTGCATACTCCCTATAATGATGGAAGGATGACGGAAAACTTACCTGGGTCCCAAGTGGCAGTTACACCTTGAGGTGAAGAGAAAACCTGAAAGTTCGATGGTGTTGGGAGATCTCGTATGAGACTAGGGTCACTGGCGGATGGGACATCAAGGGGCTTTGAACCGAGTTTGAAATCTCCGACCAAGGTTCTGGAAAATGCATTGGCAATCTGATACTCCCCCCAAGCATTGGGGTGAAGGCCATCGTAACCAGCAGGACAACCTCCCGGATGGCAATCATAGTTATTGGCAAGATCCACTAGAAACACCGGAGACTGGGATGTTCTCCATTGGGCGACATATCCAGGCAAAAGGTTATTATAGATATTAGTATTCTCAATCAAGTCATCTCGTCCACCAATGTAGCTGCGGTGAGGAACAGTTGCAATAGCAAATTTCATATTTGGGTTCACCGACCTGGCATTGTTAACCATAGTACCGATACTATCGATGGTTCCAAAGGCGTCACTATAGAACCAGCCCATATCATTGAAGCCTAACATAATTAGCATGAGATCGGCTGGATTTTGCTCTACGGCTGCCTTGACGAGGCCCTTGCTAACGGCAGCAGCCCGTCCCCAGATAGCAAAGTGATTGCAGTTAGACAGGAATGCAGGGTCCACCCCCTTAGCATAACCCCCAGAGGCACTATATGGGACAGGAGCTGGTGTGGTGCCATATAAAAGCGGCGGCTGAGGCTGTATAGGTTTCTGAGGCGGCACCGTGCCTGTGTGAGGGCCAACAAATTGGACGCTAATTCCGTTTTCCTTAAACCATTGCCACATACGATATCTCCATGTCCAGTCTCCTTCGACTCCTTGGGTCATAGAGTCACCAGCAATCATTACCTTCAGGCCACCTTGGTTACGCCCTAAGAGTGAGTTGGCTCCAGTTTTTGCTGTCTCGCCATTATTTATTGACGAGAGATACTGGGCTATCATCTCCTGCGCCTCGGGCAGGTTGACGCCTGCCTGAATTGGTGGCATAGCAGGAGCCAAACGGCGGACGATTTCATATTCTGGAATGTCGCTGATATCGTCGGGGATTGGGATTGCTGGTATATTGGCGAGCTGTCTAAGCTGTGCTGCAACAGATGCTTCAACATTCAAAGCAGAAGCAAAATCAATCGATTTCGTCGGTTTGCTGGAATGAGAGAGTGTGCTGGTAGAGGAGATGGTATCTTCTGCGTGAACCCCTTGTCTAAGCAGAATAAACACCACACAGGCACATAGAGTATGAAGATGTGAGAAGTACATGGCTCTCAGAAGCTGATCGAATAGAGAATGAGCTGTGGTAAGTCATTGTAGCGCTCACGGTGCTGCGCCAGTCACTGATATATCAAATCTGCATCGCACTATAACTGGTTGCGGACCCTATCCAGTTCATCCGAGCCGTAGCGTGTGCCCAAACCCCTGGCCACTTTATTCAGCATCGATGTGGTATTATCCTTAGTTAAGTATGTGGGTGTCCCGGAATGAACAATGCCGTCGTAGTATCTAGTTGGAGGATTATTCAAGGATTCCGAAAGAGGCATGTAATGCCGCCCATTTGAATAGAGTCCAACATCTTTTCCAACAGTCCACGTTCCTTTTTACAAGGTAATGAATGTATGTTTGATGACTGTATGTTTGATGACTGTAAATGTTGGTTATTACCGGGATATGTCATTAGCTGTTGGTTCTGTCGGGTTTCATTCTCACCAATCTCGGTGCATATCTCTGCTAGACGGTTGGCTGGCCAAGGGCACCCTGGAAATGGGGCAGGTGTAGTCCAGTCTAGGAGTATGCATTGATTGTTTTATGACACGGTCTCGTCGAAAGAAGTAGCGGGCGGATTCGGAGATATAAGACATCTACCGTTCTATATGCGCTCAAATTCTCAACTTGCATTTCCCTTTGGATTCTTTTTATTCAACTTCTGTGAACAGGAAGAAATGCTGTCCCTTAAGGTAATCAGCTTTTTCTCTGTTTGTTGCATGTTGCTGCTGCTGCAATGTGAAGGCCGGTTCCTAGAGCGTCCGTCTTCACAAGTATTACCCAGGTATGTCCAGAACAGGAATGGCTTCCGTATGGCTTTGACTGATTACAGCTTTAGGGAACTCGATTTTGGGTTAGAAAAGAGAGAGGATATACCAGAGGAATGCTTCCCATTCTGCACCCCAGGTGCCTGCAGTGCATCATCTTGCGGCGTATCAGAAAGCAATTTGCTTGAAGGTGTCGAATTGGCTAGCAACATGACGGATGAAGATCTCATTCCCAGACTTCTGGCCAAACGAAATATTTTTGGGCCAACACAAGATGGAATAACGCAATATCTTATGGACCAAAGTAAGAAAAGCTCCATTAATACCATCGGCCCTGAATTCATTGGTATCTACGAATATCCCAGTTACTGCCTTCAGACATCCTTTGCTGCTGCACCGCTCACTGAGGATCAGTATTTGGCGGGCACGGCTAAGATACGGTTGACTGGCTGTACGGCGCTGGTGGTCGTATCTGCCCGTGGCGTGTATATGGTAAGGGAAGATTTCTCCGTATTTAAGATATTAGAGATCTGCTCACTCGGCAATGATATATCAGTGTCATTTCTGGGAGGACCTTCACTATCCTCGCTGGTGGCCAGACAGGACCCGCCCTGACTTTACCTTTTTTCCGATTCTCAATATGATTCGTGGCGAGGGAGATACCACATATGCTGTTGGCCCAGCGCTTGACACATCCTTATTCACAGGCGGCAATGCTTATGACCGTACATGGGCGTTTATCATGACACCGCGAGGCTACCTCACTCACGATGATCCGAATACGGCACAATATCCATTGGAGCTAGAAGCCTTGTAGGTACCCCGACCTTGATTTGCCGCATCTGTTGTAACTTTCGTGTGCTAAAAGATGTATCTCCTTGGCTGTGTTTCCCGGGATGTAGAAAAGCACTGCTGTTGAGTTTGATTCCAGAAATCGGCATCATAGAGTACAGGTACGATGCAGTGTACCTTAACAGGGAGGATATAGGCAAGTCACATCGAGGTATTGCGTTGTTTGAGTACGACCGTAATGCCGACGGCCTCTACCATAGAGATTGGCGGCTCTGGATGGAGCAGACCAGCTATAAGGCGAGCTACTTTAATATAGCGGTATCCTAAGCTGGCTAGACGAGATGCTTGTTTTCTTTCCTTTCAGATGTGGATAGTTGTAGTATTTGATTTAACTGTGGAGAGGTCGAATAATTACCAAGCTCCATACTCCGTTTCTCTCCACCTATGATGTATCACGTTTGCTGGACAGCCAAGTATCCGTGGCCGGTCTACTATAAACGGTACTGGTTGTCTGATACCGTCCCCCTTTCGCTCCCAGTTCTCAGCTCTCCCAGTAAAAAGAGTCATATCTGCCATTTCTGTTCTAGCTCCCTCGTGCCAGGGAAAGAGCACCATTGTTAAATCTCCGTTGCATTCTTGCTCATACAAAGACTCAAAACGGAGCGAATAAAGGCGTGGCTGGTTGCTGGTGCAGTAATTGATTATGGACGCAAAATGTCCTTCTGCTAACCTTATATTCTCCAGAGATAAGTCGCCAGGCTCAGTTCGCTTGATGAACTCCAGTAAGTCGGCCTCCCTGGCGCCTATGCCACGCAGCATGACCCGTCTCAATCTAGGCAAATTTTCCATCTCAACGACATATTGCAGAATCCTCTCTGTTTGGAAGTCGAGGCTATTTATGAACTTGTTGGAGATATGGAAGAAGTGGAGTTCAAAGTCCTCCAGCTGGCTGCAAAAACCGATAAGTTTCGCAACGCCAATGAAATTTACCTCGTCATTAGCTTCCGCGTTGTAGTCCCTCTGTATGCTCTCCTTCCATGCAGGCGCGGCGCAAAGGTAACTTTCATCGGGTTCGGCCATGTCCTTGTATATATTGAAGACTCTAGAGCACAAACTTAGGGACAGTGACTTAAGAGCTGAGAATGACTCTGCGACCTTAGGATCCTGCAACTCAACTGCATAGAGCCTGTCACAAGGCAAACTGCAATGTTTCATCGTCTCATCGTTAAAAAGATTCAACTTTTCAATGCGCAAATGACTCGTAGCTAGGGCTTGTAGCACTACTTGCCACATGTACACTGCACAGAACCATATGCGACATGGCATCTCCATCTGATTTCCTCCTTCAGATGGGAGATGCCGCGAGCCATCTTTGTAAACATTAATTACTCTGAGAGTAAGTAACTCAAGATGATTATTATCATTATGTTTTGCGATCTCATTGAATAGCTCCGCGAGATGGTCAGCAAGCCGCCCCTGCCTTTTGCCAGCTTCGCCTGCGTCCCCGTGTAGGTTCGGTTTTCGCGCAAGTCCAACGAGACATAGGTGTCTGAGCTGATTGCTTCTTGATTCTATGGTCTTGGTAAATGCCTGTAGTAATTCGGCCGTCAAATCAAGCTGTTTCATGCGGCAGGCCCGTCGAAAGTGACCTTGTGAGGATTTGGTGGACACGGCCTTGCTCGTCAGCCGTAGATTTCGTATATCTTCCAGGTCTAAATACGCCACTATTCGTTCGACAATGTCTAGCGGACAGGCCGCGAGGGTCGGGTTCATGGTTTCGGATTTACCGCATGTGCTTTTTCAGGTATAAAGAGTTCGAAATAAGGCAGACGGGGCCTTCTTTCATGGTATTTTATTGACTGTCAGGCTGATTTTGCAGCACCCATCTGCTAAAACACTGGGGAGCCTCGAAGCAGCATAACTAGTTTAGCGACATGATGTTGGTTTTATATTGAGGCCAGGGTAGAGAGAAGTTGGCAGGCTCTTTGACCTTTTGACCAGGATGGCTTAAGTATATACAGGGTCCTCCGTATATATATCGAGTAACAAGGGCTGGAGACCACATGAGCCATCTGCAGGGGTCGGATAAAGAGAATATTTCGGGCGTTCGTATCTCGATATACGACCCCAGAGAGCCGCTGTATCCATTGCAACATAGGATGGGGTTCGTCGGGTTGTCCTAGACGTTCATATCATGCACATTTTTTAAAATGCAAGGTCGAGATAGCGAAGAGGATGTGCGCAATACGGATGGATTCGACGCAAGGAACTTAAAATAATGAACTGTTCATGCGGGAAGTCTCTGCCAAACGTAGAAGTATTTCACATCGATATCCTTCGCAGTAGAATAAAGTAGAGTGCCATTCGACATCGTAGGTGGTGGAGGTGGAGAACAGTGTGAAGACATGCTGGATCGAGATTCTCCGCAACTGACGTCGCCGAGGAGTTTCGAGTAAGAACGCGAATAAATACTCGGAAAGTCAACTGCTGAATATTAACGAGAGGCGATGCTCTAGTTATATGTAAGGAACCACCAGGTTCATGGGTTAATCCTCATCTTGAGATGTGATGTCTGGAAGTTGAGATGTTTTAGCCAAATATCTGAATCAGGGGCTTTAACTATATAACCATTCAGATACCATTATCTTCAAGGAACAAGCAGGATGCGTTATAAGGGGCTTCATTCCTCTTGGATCGGGTCCAGCAGTCTTTACAGGTCTGGCGCGTGGGTTGGGGGTTCCAGGCTCTGTCGTGTTCATCAGTGTTTGGTTGGGGGGCATGATGGAAACACCACGGCCTGTCCTTGCTCTTATCCTCATATTGCCATCATGTCCTGAATATAAAAAAGCCCCTGGCAAGTCAGAAGGAGTTTGATAAAGTCATAGTATGGTTAAATCAAACTATTAACAACGCCTGTGGTCTCTGGGATCTCCACACTGTCTGCAATGCATCAGATATAATAGGTAGGAATTATCAAAGGTGTGGGTTAGCCCGGTTATAACCCGCCCCCCCCAAATAACCACTAGTTATTTGGGGGGGATGACGTACGAACCCCCCTAAATATCTATTTTATTCCAACATGTCCTTAGTAATAGGTTATACTCTGGGTTATTCTATATCCACCAATTAAATATGCTTATAAATAATAGAGGATAAGGGGCCTACTTGGCTTCACCGTACGATATAAAATATATCATATATATACGGCTACTAATCCTAAGCACCACGTAGAGGTGTAGGCCATGCTTGGGTAAAATAAGAACGTAGCAGAAACTTTTAGGGAAAACAAGAACGCAGCAAGAACTCGTACGGGCTGGGGATTCCGGGCCATAACCCCGGTTGTCCCCCCCCAATATACCCCCTTTTTTTTTTTATTTTCTTGGAGATACTAAGCCGGTTCCCAGCTCTCTCCTTTTTTCTATAGATATCTCCTTATCTCCTCGTACGGGAGTAGGGTCATACCCCTATTATCTCGGATCTTCTTTCTTTATCTTCTTCCTTACTCAATAAGGATAGGGTTGGCCGGAGCCGATCTAGAGGGGGGGAGGGCCCGCTAGTTAGAAGGAGGAGGAGGAGGGCCGTCGTCTGCATACCGTACGACTAGATTAGGTAAGCCATTTAGGCTACACCTTGCCCCATAGTCCCTCTATTTACAATTAGCACATGCCCCTCCAAAGTGGTCGACATGCCGGTGGCAGGAGGGGAAAGGGGCCATGCCCGGGGAGTCAGAGGCGCAGGTATTGCAGGGTTCGGCCATCGTACGGCCACGAGACTGAATCAAGATCCCATTAATATATAATTGGCGGTGGGATCTAACTTACTGGGGGTTAACTCGGCCCTATATAAAATAAATATCTCTCCCAGGGAGAGAAACAAGAGCTATACTCTGAGGAGAATAGTAAAAATAGCAGAAGTTAGGATAAGAGGCTTGGATCACTCCGTACGGAGCACTAGGGGCCTAACCAGAGACTAAACCAGCCTCCTGGAGGTTCTACTGGGCGATAGCAGCATCATAATGTACGAGAGCCCTATAGAATAGTTAGTATCTATATCCCAAGATATCCCAAGGCACCCCTTGAACTTACATGTTTCTCTCGTACGGGAGAGAGGGAGAGAGGGGGGGGGGGGGAGAGAGGAGGAAGAGAGGAGGAAGAGATAGAGCTGGTGGATAAGCTGGCGGACGGAGAGGTAGGAGAGCAAGATAGTAGCAAGACAGGTTAGGTCGAGATTTATTCTATATCTAAGTTAGCTATATCTATAGCAGCGTACGATAAGGAGGGAAAGAGATATAAGGAATAAAGAGGAAGTAAGCTTACTTTGATAGCTAGCTTTCTTAAATCTGAATATACAGCCCGTACGGGCAGGGGGTGAAAATAGTCAGCTTGGAATCACTTCTTCTCCTCCTCCTCCTTATATAGGGTAGATAGAATAGGGGATATATCACTCACCAAGCAGGCAGGTAGCAAAATATAATAATCTCGTACGAGGAGAGAAAGAGAAAGAGAAAGAGAAAGAGAAAGAGAAAGAGAGAGAGAGAGAGAAGAAGAAGATAATAAAAGGTAGTAGGCCTTATATCTACGTGCGTGCTAGACTTGGTGTACTAAGTAAAATTCACTATATTATATTTTAATTAACTATAATAACTATCTGATTCATCGTACGATAAGAGAAGGAAGGGAGGTAAAGATAGTAGCGCTATATTACTCTCCCCCGATACTAGATATCGTACGGAGAGGGTAAATAAGAAGAAGACATAGAGAAGACATAGGGAAGAAATAAAGGATAGGAGAGGGTGGGAGAAGGTAGGAGAGGGTATAGAGAGGAGTAGGAGAGGATATAGAGGGGGGTAGGAGAGGGAGAGGAAGAGATAGAAATAGGGTAGGAAGAGAGATCGTACGAAGAGAAGGGGTATTAAGTTAAGGTCGATTTATTTTCAACAGATTATATAGCCTATTTAGAGTAAGCCTCCGTCTCTTCCGTATTTGCTCAACCTTATCAATAGCAGCAGTAAAAGTAATACCACCCTTCTATCTTCGTACGATCTTATCCAGGACTACCTTGCGACGGCTAAACATCATCTACTCTTTGGGTAAGTGCCGGCACTATGTTGTCCTAAGTCTCTCTTCTAGATCTCGTACAGTAGGCCCACCACCTAGTCCAATAGTCCACTCCCGCCATAAATCAGGCACAGTCTCAATCGTACGGGAGAGAGTATATATAGAGGGGAGGCCAGATTCAGTATCAATAGCTGGCTGTCTCTATAGAGTATCGTACGGGAGGGCAGATGGTACTACAACTGCCGGAATAGACTAGGGGGAATAGGATAAGGGAGAGACCTTCTCTGCCTCCTTCTCTGCCTCCTTCTCTGTCTCTTTTCCTCCCTCCTCACTACCCTGATTATTTTGTTTCTAGGGGTTGACTCGTACGACAAAGGAGGTTGTCCCATTTAGTAGACCTATAAGGTTGGTATCAATCCTCTAAAGATAACTCAAGGCCTATGTCTCGGATATTTAGATTGACTAAGAGAGGGAGTGCTCTATTGTCTAGAGGCGGCTAGCGATAGCTAGTATCGTACGGCGGATCTAGAGTTCCTCTAGTTCCTCAGTATTGGTAAGGGACTCCCGTACGAGATAGGAGAACTAGATATAGTCCTGCCGTATAAAGAGGGGAGCATTCCAGATTGGATGGGAGGGGAACTCCTACTTAAAGATCACAGAGTCCTGTAGGAGGATCGTACGTAGCCTAGATAGAAGGCGGAGGAACCCCTGGGCTACTAAATCATTCCTATCTGTAGCCCCTTCATCAAATCTCACTGCCTTAGGTAGAAGGGAGCCAGAGGGGGATACCTTCTCTTCGTACGATTTAAACCAGCTAACCCATATATCAAGCCATGGCCAGAGGGCTACAGTCAGTGATTCAGGGGGCTGCACCTTAGCCCGTGGAAGGAAATAATTCCCCTAAGTAGAGGAGTCAAAGCCAGCCATCGCCCGTACGAACTCACGAGGGAGGTAAGTAAGATAGTAACTAGAGAGAGTATTACTATTCTATCGTCCAGCTCTGCGGATCTGGTTCTTACTAACTCCAAGGAGCTTAGTATATTTAGCTCCCTGAGCCCGTCTAGCATATGTCTTCTTTAAAGACTCGAGGTTTGTAGCCTTAAATACTCGATTAATCTAGCTTAGATGGATCTCGTACGAGAGGGGCTAGGTGTACTCTCTGCCTTTAAGGAGATAGCTATTATACCAGAGCTCCCTCCTCTGAAAGTTTAGAACCTTCTCTCCTACAATATCCCATCGTACGAAGAGGTAGAAGGCAAGGTTTGCCATAGTATAAAGTAAGGGGTTTCGATACCGTATAACAGCCATATACTCCAGACGGCCCACACTATTAGTCTTCCCATTATCCATAATCATAATAAGGGGGTGGCAGGGAGTTAGCCCCTTATTAGGGAGGGAGACTATAAATAGATCAGGGAGCTCGACCGTACGACGAATCTCGCCTCTAAGAAGGAGATTATAGGCAAGAAGGAGGTCTATAGCTGTACGTAGATATGGCTCTGTAAGGGGTTGGACCCCTATTCCCTTCTCGGGTCACCGCGCGCTCCGTAATCAACGAGGCAGCAAGGCCTGTCTGGAGATGCCATCACCAGACTCCCCCTTTTACTCTCGCGCACGTGACCCTCAACACGGTCACATGACCTCAACGCCTGGAGCTATAGCTCCATCCCCCATCACCGACTTCCTTCCTTTTCCCCTTTCTTCTTCTTCCCCATGTGTTTTGTCTTCGACTTACTGATACCCTTAGTTAGTTGAATAGAACTCTCTTCGGCCGTTAACATTACAAAACACATCCTTATATTGGTCTTATTGGTTATATTGGTTACATTGGACACATTGGTCATATTGGATACATTGGTTACATTGGACACATTGGTTACATTGGACACATTGGGTACATCGAGTACACAGAAGATATTGGAAACATTGGTATAGGAACATTGGAATGGAAGATTGGAACGCAATGGATACAGCGGAAGGCCAACGTCAGGGCCAGGAGAACAATGGAAATGGACAGCAGAATAGTAACCAGCCACCGAGTTGGTTAGGAGCTTTTCTAGAGCAGCAGAGTACCCTTATGGAGAGGCAGACGGAGCAGATCAGAACCTTAACAGCGCAGCTAGCCACGCTGAGAGAGAGGGTACAGGAGCAGGGGACACCCCTAGTAGCACATCTCACCCCCCAAGCCTCACCGGCCCCCTCGATACAGACACCACCACACCCTGATCGGCCAAAACCCGCCTTACCAAACGCGGAGAAGTTCAGTGGAGAAAGACTATTGGACTATCCATCATGGAGGATGGAAGTCAACGCTAAACTTACAGTGGATGGGGAGTCAATTGGGGGCCCTAGCCAGCGAGTATGGTATATTTTCTCCCGACTAGAAGGAGTAGCAGCGAGGAGAGTCCTTCCCTGGGTAGAGCGCAACCAGTACGACCCAAGCCAGTTTACACCAGCACATTTCTGTGCTTACCTGGACCACCTTTTCGTCGACCCAGCTCGGCAGGAGAAGGCCAGGCGGCGGGTGTACACTATACGCCAAGGGAAGCGAGCACTGGCTGAGTTTCTTGCAGAATTTGATCAAGTTATTATGGAAGCAGGAGGCCACACTTGGGACGACACAGCAAAGATAGGAGCACTGCAGATGGCCCTAGACCCTAAGCTCCTAGAGTATATGATTGGAGTAGATACCCCCGAGTCCTACGAGGACTACTGCTCCCTCCTTAGGCGAACGGATGATAGGTCTAGAGAGGCACAGCGAGTGGCCCAGGCCCAGCGCATCGGGCTCCAAGGTTACAGAGCATGGAGCTCTCAGAACCAGCAGCCCCGCGCTCTCGCCCCAGCGGTCCCTCGAGGGGACCCTATGGATATTGATAGCACCGCCCAGAAGCCAGCTCGCCGTGCTAAGTGGGCGTCGCCTGAAGAGAGGGAAAAGCGTAGGCAGGGCCGTAGGTGCCTACGCTGCGGAGGCGCAGGCCACTTCGTCGCAGCTTGCCCTTACCTGCCGCCACGCCCAACAACACAGGTCACAGATGTGACCCCGGCGGCGTCGGGACCACCGCCAGACCTAGAAGAGGAGGAGGACGCCAACTACTCGGGCCAGGAAAAGACTAGCTCCTGTGTTAAAGCGCACACAGAGCCCCGAGAAGATATACTGCAGAATGGCAAAGGTTCC